ACCATCAAAAACAACTGCAAGAGGGAGACCGAAGTATCCTTTGTCACAGTCACAGAATTTCATTATGAAGACACAAAAATATTTGTATTATGTCGTTCAATAAGGGTTAAAAATAGATCTCCTCCACACTCTCTCCCTGTAAATACAAAACTCACAACGGAAGGGTTGTGTTATCAATATTAGTGGAACGGGAATGAGAGTATTACAGTAATACAGTTCACCGGGTAAACTGGTGCCATTAAAACAAGTCATATTAACATTGCTGAATACCTTCCAAGCTAAAATAAAGGTCTTCTGAATCATTTTCCTCTGAAGAAACTCAAGCAGAGAAGCAGCTCACCATAAGAGTCCAATGTGATTCTGTGACTGGGAAAGAAAAAACAAGCACATGTCATCTTCAGATACGCCAACAGCATATTAGTGACAAGCAGTTGAGGTGGTGGAATTACTTTTGTACATGGCACTGAAGGGGTGGATATTTGAAATTGCATAAATACTGGTATCTGCATTTTAAAAACAATGCTGAAACCACATTTCAAATCAAATCAAATCAAATTCCCCAAAACCGAGACCTAGAGAAAGCAGAAAACAGAAGCCAACAAACTCTGAATGCTTAATTAATTAAAAACAAATGACATAAAGACTTGAAGACAGCGCAAATATTCCGTCAGAAGAAAAAGAAGATAAATACTTCAAGGTTTCCTTACTTTACCCAGGGAAAACATATGACAGAGTAATAGCTATTGATTGAATTTATTACAGTCATCCAGTAAAAACTGGAAAGAATCTATGATAATCTTTAAAGCAAACAAACAAAAGGAAAAAAAAAAAAAAAAAAAAAAAAAAAAAAAAAAAAAACAAAAAAACCCAAAAAAAAACCCCAAAAAAAACAAAAAAAAAAAAACAACCAAAAAACCCCAAGGAAAAACCCCAAACAACCAAAGAAAAAAGAAAAAAAAACGCCCAAAACCCACTCAAAAAATAATTTCATCTATTACACTACCAAAACAGTTATTCATCAACAGATAGGAATTCCAAATCTAATAACAAAATCCATCTGTGAATAATTCAAAAGAAATTTTCACGAAACTATACTGCATTTTTCCATACATTTTGCTATAACTGAATGGGCTCCCAGATAGATTTTCTTATTCAGAGGGTACTTAAGCAGTAAACCAAAAGCAAATATGCAGTTATCTACAGTTTTTTGAAAATAAAATATCAAACAACCAATGCACCCTACTGGCTGCATTGTAAAAGGCACACAGCATATTTCTATTATGGATATACATTAAATTAATACAGTTAATTTTAAAAGTTACTGATTCCTGTCAAGTAACCAAAAGGGATCAGCAAATATGTAAACTATTACACAGGGAAAATACAGTCTCAATCCAATTATATTTTTTCATTTACTGTCATTTAAACCATAACAATAATTAAACAATTAAACAATTAAATTAAACAATTAAATTCTGTGGTCATTTTTAACCCATTTTTGTTGTTGGACCCTTGCTAAGTAAAAAGGATTTATGGTAGTTTTGAGAATCAATGGTTGGACTTAGTGACATGAAGAGTCTATGATTATAGCTAAATGTATACATGCAAATATTTCTACTGGAGAACAGACTATGCACTGTCTGTAGATTTAGCATTATTTGCTTCTTGCATACTTTTATAAAGATCTTAAGAAATTCCTCTTACTTCATCTTACAGTCATGTCTTAATAACTTCCTTTGGTATTTACTGGAGCTGCAGAGCTACCTTAACATTACTATTGCCTACAATTGTACTACCATTCCCAATTACCAAGCAGGGAAGCAGAGACGGACAAAGGGTGTATATGTATTTCTGTGTGAATCTCTTAATGAGTAAAAATTTATCATGTCATTCAAGAAATTAAAACATACATTTAGACACTTTGACACTAGTTATCGGAATGTAAATCTAGACTGGTGGTACCAAATCATAGAATGACTTACAAAAACAATGGTGGCACATGACATGGAACGGCTTCCAGATAGAAAGAATACGTTTGGGATGTTAATAAAAAATTACTAACAAGTTATATCAGCCCCTCCACATCTTCCTTACAAACTCCTTTCAAAAAATTTCGTAAGATCTTCCTATTATTTCTATGTGTATACTTAACTTCCTAGCTCTGATCAGGTCGCACAAGAAATAACATGAACAAGAGGAATGTGGTACAGATCCATGCAGATGCTGTTGGAATGCCATGGTGTGATCAACACTGACCCTGTAGCTCATTGAGAATGCACTATTAGGATATGCAAAGTAACTTACATGGGAATAGAGAAAGGCTGTATTCTTATTAGCATTCATGGGAGCTACGCAGCTCCAGTCCTGTTCTTCAAGTTTGGAATATACCCTTTTGTTATTGATGGGAAAATGTCACCAGTTACAAATGGTTACACACAGGGGTGTAGCAGGGTCAAAGCAAACTCCAATACTTTCTTTCCCCTTCTAAGGCAGAGTGCTGCTTCAGCAGTTCTTTTTTGACCTGGTGGTATACCTCTGTAGATAAAAGAAATGGTGAAATTCCCTGCTCCTGGCCTTTGCTGTAGCCTCACCACCCAAAGATTAAAAAAACCTCCAAAAGGATATTCTATTAGTGGTGTGTGATGGATCAATCATTAGACACCACTGCAGGCATCCTTGCATATGAACTCTGACTTCAAATTCCTTTACAGATCCACCCACAGCTCTGATAAGTCTCATAAAACAGTCTTTCAAAAGCATGAATAGGGTCTGAGTCATCAGTTTCCCAGCTACAGATAAGTGCAGTTACTTCACTTCTATTACTGCAAGCTTCCTTAAAAAACAAAACAGAACTGCTTGGTGCTGCAAATATTCCTCGCCAGTTATGGTACTTCTCAATAGATGAAATCCTAAATCACTAAGTTAAAATTAATTTTCTTTGAGATCCCACCAGAAAACTTTGGGTTTATGGGAAATTAATTCAATTTTGGCACCTCCAACATTGCTCTTTCCAGAAATACAGTGGTAGAAGGTTCATTCTACCCACATTTAGCATCTCCAAAAAGGCATAAAATCATTCTGGGACTCCTACAAATATGTTCACACATTTGTCATGTAATCTGACAATCCAAGCTTTGCTGGATAGCAGCTTCTGTGTGAGGCTGTATCTAAGCCTTCACTGCCGCTGTGTTAATCAGCACAAGCTGTGCTTCTGACCCATGATAAAAATAGAAAGCTTATTTCTGAGCAGGCTTTGATTGGGAAGATGCTATGAAAGAAGAAATTGTGCCTGTCTAGGAGAAACCACTGTTCACAGTTAATTACACCTGAAACACTCAACAAGGAAAATGTTATGTGGGCCAAAGCATGAAGAAAATACTAGCTACTAAATGGTTTCAAAAGTGTCCAGACTTACAAGAAACTTCAGTTTGAGGAAATTCTAACTACACTAGGTATCCCCTGGGCTCTTTTCACATGTGCAGAATAAGAAAGCCAGAAAATTAGCTTCAACAAAGTAGGCCCAACTTCCTGCAGGAACAATATCACATTTAAATGCTAGTACTATTCCATGCTTTTTCACAAACGGCAGTGACCAACCTGAACAAAACGGCCAGCTTGTTATTTTGTGCTAACTTCTGTATCTAAGAATATTGCTACTCTTTCAGGCAAACCTCTGTGTTCTTGAGAGAAATGTACTGCTCTTGTTGATGCTATTTTGCTAGGGAGTACCTAGACAGCCTTGGGAATACCTTTATTTTAACTGATTCATCCTTTATATACAACAGAATGCTATGTTAAAGTATATACAGATAAATATATGAATGTATGTAATATATATACACAAAAAATAGGCTGACATACAAGAACACAATGTACCTTCAGAGCCTGTTTTACAGTATCTGGAAATGTGGCTTCAATTAAGCTTCTGTGGGTGTGAATGTGACACTTCATAGAGCTACACAATTGTTAGCTCTTATTTTTATGTCTTCAGACTCAAGTAATCTGGTTTTCAAAAGTAAAGACATTTAAAAAAACCTGTCTTTTTTAATATCAAATATGTTTCTAACCACTTTGGTTGTTTAGCAAGGCTCAAAAACAAAAGAAAAAAAAAAACCCAAACCCCAACTTAAAATTACCTTAAGATCAAATTTAAACTATTTTCAAGAAGCAGACCTGCAAACTCATTCACCTTCAACAATTTTTTTTCAACATATTTAGCCTTAGAGCTGTCAGTTTTTTAAAGGAATACCCTTCTTGCTCCTGCTGTAATCCAAAACCTCCCGCTAAGGCTGTGTCAGCAAAAAGACACACTAAGTTAAATCTATTAGTTAGACTAGGACATCCACCTATTGCCTTAGCACCCCAAAAGCTGCTGACAGATCTTTAGAGAAAAAATCATTCTGCTAAAAAAGGAAAGCAGAAGTATCGACACGGTTTCATTTGTGGTACCTCTCTTGTAAAAACAAAGATCTATCAACGAGAGCCAGATTTCTGTACCTCTGCAGTACTAGTGCTGAGGGGACAGGCGTGAAGGGATATAAAGAAACTGCCTGGCAGCTTCTAAGGGTGCAGCAAAGCGGTAAAAGAGCCAGGCGGGACTAAGAGATACACGACGTGGAAAGGAACTGCGAACGCTAGCGGGAAACGGTCTCAGAACCCTCTTAATGACTCAAATACATGGCAACTTCGTACACCTGAGCAGACTGCGTTTCTCCAGAAAGAGGATCAGCAAGGCACGCGGGGGGCAGGAGGGGAAGGCGGGGGCGAAGCGCTTCCTCGCCCGGCAGCGCCGGGCCCACGCTCCGGCCTCCAACGCCGAGCCGCTCAGCCACAGCGCTCTCTGGGCCGCGCCGGAGCGGCACAGGCGGTGTGGAGCGGAGCAATACGGGGCAGCGGAGCGGGGCGAAGCAGTAGCAGCAGCAGACGGTACCGCAACACGCTCGCCCGCCGAGCCGGCTCCGCACGGCCAAGCCCCGCGGCCGCCTTCCGCCACCCCTGCCCCCGGGGCTGCGTGCGGCCGGCGCCTGGGCGTGGCCGCGCTGCGGACGTGGCAGCGCGGCCGCCATCGCGATGGTTTCCACGTGGAGTGGGGGCAAGTAAAGCCGCGGTCCGGGGCGGAGTGGGCCGGCCAGGCACGGCTCGGCTCGGCTCTCACCTCCCCCCGGCGGCGTGGCCGGCGGTTTCTAAGTCTGGAGGGAGCTGGGTGCGGGAGAGGAGGAGGGGCCGGCGTGGGGCTCCCCGCGGAGGGCGCCACGCCTTTGCTCCGTTCCACAGGGCCACCCGCGGAGCATGGCCGGCCGAGGCCCTGGCGGCGGCTCGCAGCCGTCCGCCGTGGCGCAGCCGCTCGCCGGCGGTCACTTGTACCCCTTCGTGAGCGCGGAGAGCGAGGGGCCCGAGGAGGAGGGTGAGCTGTCGGAATTGCGGCCGCGGGGCAGGGAAAAGGTCCGGCGGAGCGCATCGAGGGACAGGCTGGATGATATAGTCCTGCTGACGAAGGACGTCCGGGAAGGGGACACGCTGAACGCGATAGCGCTGCAGTTCTGCTGCTCCGTAAGTGCACGGGCGGCGCGGGCCCCGCGCGGCTGCCCGCGGAGGCAGCGTGTGGCAAACGCCGTGTGTCTCAGAAGTGGAAAATTGCGTCAAGTGTAATTTGACGTGTTCGTGTTACAGAGTAGGGTTCCGGTTCCGTGGGCTTTTCCCCTTAAAACTAATATAAGTGTGAGAAACAAGTGCATAGTTTTGGTTGTGACACTCTCTCAGAGTGCATGCTACCTTCAAAGCTCTTCTCCAGTCACAGGTCGGCACATCCAGTAGCATCCTCGCTGTTGGGCTGGGTGACAGGGGTGTTGGTGAACTATCTGAAGGGTTTGTGTGGAGGCCTAATTCCATATAGTAGGGGGAAAAAATCCTCCATATTTTTCTTTTGAGTTCTGCTAAATTGCAAAATTGTATTTTAAGCATGAGCCTGCTCTACTTTTGGGAACTTTCCACCTCTGTGCACCCTTCTTTGTGCTCACTACTTCTAGCTCAGTTCTTACATTAGTCTGGTAAATGTCCTGCCTACCCAGTAATTTTGGCTGCCAGTACTACTAAGGCAATGGCATTAGTCTTAGTTGATGTTTCCAGTTTTAACAGGAAATCAGCTGTGTGTGTTGATGGGACTGACTGCTAAGTGCACAGGTGCCATTGAGGTCAAGTTGAAAATCTGTATATACAGAATATGCTGTCATTAATTCTTCAGGCAGAAACAGAATTGTGGACTTCCTGTTGTGACTTTAGGTATTAAAGTCTTGACATAACTATTTTCTAATCATGACGGACCTTAGCCTCATTAACCAAGTCTTGGCTTCAGAACCTACTGCATTTGGGTATTTTGAGCAGCTTTATGAGGTCAGGCCTCACTAAGAAAGGAAGAACAACTAAATTATGCTCTTTCTTGCAAATTCAAGAGAATGTGGAAGAGCGATCCTGGGACTTGAGGCAGAAAGTATAAGTTGCATTGTGGTGGAATCATATATTGCTGCATTTGGCAGTCTTGTATTCTTACCCAATTTATTCTGCATCATACAGTTAACAAATACGCTGCCATAGTAACTGAAGGACTTCTTCAACTTAAAAAGGTTTGTGTGAACTTGGATACAGTGCATCTTCAAATGGACATAATTCCTGTGTGCTTTGCAGGTGTTGCAGAAAAGCACTGATTTTGAAGTTCTTCATTATAGTGAAGTTTGTGGCTGTGCCTTCTACAGTGAGGGAGTTACCATCTGAAAGTGAAGCCAGTGATTATCCCAGTGCATTTAAATCCCTGCAGAATGTTTCACATTAGACTTAAAATCTGAACTTACTGCAAGCAAAATTAGATTAATTTTGAACAAGAATAGGAAAAGGGGAGAGCTGACTTGGGTAAGGTAAATGACAGTAGTTTAAAAGTTAGACTTGTCTTCTGCCATAGCCCCCAGAAGCAGCAAAAAAACACACCTGTGGCTAGATGAATTGCACACACATATTTTGTAATCACTCCTAACTCAGAAATTTTTCACTGAATTAGAAATTAACAGTAATTTACATAATTTGAAAACTCAAAGTGAGGTGAATTCTCATTAATTTCACAGAGATAGTTGCTAACTGATAGCTGAACCTACATATAATAAATGTATCTATGTGAAGTGACTTTCAGTCTTCTTATCTGAAGTGAGAGGGTTTTTGCATCATAATTAATTTCCTTCTTGTTGTAAAGATGTTTAGATTTGGTCTTTGACCTCTTCTGACTTCATACTGTATGAATGGTATAAATTTTAAAAAACCCAAATTTAATAGTAATGAAAACCAAAGGCCTTGCCTTAGACTTCAACTTAAAATCTAAACTTAATTTGAGCAAAATGATATTTTAAGCAAGAATATCTTATCAATAAAAGGAGAGCTGACTAGGGCAAAAACATAGGCCTTGTCTTTGTTTCCGTACAAAAGACTTGTATTTCTTAAAGGTGTAGTACTATTAAGAGAGGTTTGGTTCAATGGAATACGATGTTTTAGCTGTTGTTTTCATTTTTAGGTTGCAGATATCAAGAGAATTAACAATCTTATCAACGATCAAGATTTTTTTGCCCTGAGGTCTATCAAAATTCCAGTGAAAAAGTTCAGTGTATTGACTGAAACCCATATATATCCAAAAGGAAGACAAGCTCTTCGGCCTGCTCTGTGTTCCCCAGAAGATCAGGAAACATCTCTTTGTGATAAATTCTCTGCTAATGAGACTGCTGGCAACTTCTTAAAAGAAGTCGATCGAGATATAGAAGAAATAGTGAAGTGTAATGATACAAAGAGAGAGAATCTGAATGAAGTTGTTTCTGCTTTAGCAGCCCAACAGATCTGTTTTGAAACTGATGGTAAAACTAAAAAATGTAAGGATCCTTACTATGGAGCAGACTGGGGTATAGGGTGGTGGACAGCAGTAGTGATTATGTTGATTATTGGCATTGTAACTCCAGTTTTTTATCTCCTGTATTATGAAGTTCTAGTGAAAGCAGATGTCAGTCATCATTTTCCAATGGAATCTTCCCATTTGTTTGTCACAGCAGTATCACATCAGAAAGAAACAGAAAATGGAATAAATCCAACAAATATTATGAAAGTTGATAATCAAGGAGACCTTCAGCATTAGTAGTGGAAGACCCTAGACAACTGTTGTATGTAGATACAGAACATAACCTTAGGTAAAGGGGAATCCACAGAATGCAAAATGCACTTGGAATGCAGAGATGTGTATTGATGTGTGACTTGCCTTTATGGGCAGTGTTCCACTACAAGGATATTTCTGGGGATCACATAATCTCTGAATATGCCTGAGATAGGCAGTTTGCAAGATTGGGGTGTCTATTAAGGTATGAAGTAATCTCTGAAGCTTTGCACTTTCTTCTATTTTGATAGGCATGTTTCTTAATTAATGATGAGGTGGAAAAATATAGTTCAAACTAACACACAAGGAGTCTGTGTTTTACAGCCCAGAAGTGGGCATGTGGGGATAGCTAACTTTTAAACATCTAAAAGGACTTACAGAATTCATAGTACACTTGACATTTTTAATACCAGGTTTACAGTTGTAAGTTAAAGTGGTGTTCTCATAATTTAATCTTTCTTATAGAGTAAGATTTTTTTAAAACTCAGTTATTCCATAATTAATAGCCACTATGAAGTTCTTTTTTACAGAGGCAGTAGAAAACACTTAAACTGGAATCTTGAAATCTTGTGCCTGTGGTCAACCCATTCTGCAGTATAGGCACTAGGGTAGTTTGTTTTCTCTGTGGGATTGTGTGCCTCAACACAGTCCACTTAGGATTCCTCCTGAAAGTTTACATTCTTCCTTGGTTTTCTGCTGAAAACTTACTGCATTCTCATCTGGTCACTTGTGTGTAGAATGAAAGAAGTGAAGAAGTGTGGCACCTTACTGCCCCAGTAGTCCTAATTTTCTGCTAATAGATTTATCTTTTTCACCTCCAGTTAATCTCAGTTCAGGACCAATTGATTATTCAGATAGCAGTCATGGGTACTGAGCATGCTAATACTGGTCTTCTGCCAATGGAACCTCAAGCTCTTAACTTTTTCCTGAAGTGTGCTAGAAAACTTCAAATGATATTTAATGCCTGCTAGCAAATTTGAGCAGAATAGACAACTTGCATCTTCAGACTTGTACTTTACATATTAGTGTATTCATTAACCAATCCCCTCCTAAATGTTTCTCTTGGAGTTTCATGATCAGCCTTGGTTTTCCCCTCTTTTTCTTCCCAATTTAAAAATGCTTCAAGATAAAAAACAAACAAAAAACCCCATAAAAAACATAAATAAACCCCCAACACCTCTGGACTCTTCATACAGAAAGGAAGTACTTGTGTACTCAGAATACTTTTAAATGAAAACTGAGATGGTGCCTATAATTATTTTGATTATATTTGCCTTGTGGAGCAAGAATTCCATTGCCCTGTTCAAAATAGTATTTATTACCAAAACCCAAGATAACAGACTTAATTAGGACTTGAAAAGAGAGAAGTGGAAAAAATTGTAACCTTTTCAGTGAATGTCTTGACTAAGTATATACAGTACTGCCGCGCTGCTGTCAGAGTGTCTCTACTCCCCCGGGCAGGGGAGGAGGTTGCTCCAGCTGAGCTGAAGGCACAGCAGCTGACAGCTGGGGGGGGGCACTTCCCAGATGCGCCGTGGGCGTCCCGGGAGCGCCTCAGCGCCAGTTCGAGGTCTGTTGTTGGATGTTGTCAACGTCCTCGGACATCTGGCGGATGGTGCGTCTGGCGTCCTTGGCTTGTGACGACAGGTTCATGCAGCAGAGCCCCTCGAACTCCTCACAGCGATGGTTGTGGAGTAACAAAAGGAAGCCGATTGCTGCCCTATTTTGGGGGGTCGCTTGCCTCGTTGTTTCCTCATCAGCTAGGAGGTCCTCCCATAGAATGTGAATGGAGCTCTGATTGCTGCAATGTGGTCACACCAGTTGGCGGTAATATACATCTTGTTTCCCTGGCGAACCTCTTGAAATGGGCTCTCCCCGGGG